CCCATTCTTGAATTATATGCTTTTTGTCATCATTTTTACATTTTTTATTTCCCAGGCATTTTGGGTTTTAAAAAAGTGCCCCTGCTATCTGAGCAGTGGCAAACACCTGTAATCCCAGCTACTTGGGAGGCTGAGGCAGGAAAAATCATAAATATTAGCCTATCCTGGGCCCTGTATCAAAATAAACAAAAAGGGCTTGGGATGTAGCTCAGTGGTAAAGCACCCTGGGTTTGATCCCTAGTACTGAAGGAAAAATAAAAAGAGCCAGTGCTACCTACTATTGTCAAAGGAATTCTATACATATAATCAATAAGGTAATTTTTTTTAATAGGGGTGGAGATAAAGGGGAAAAGCTGCAGATGCTACTGAAACCTTAACTTGCAAGGCAGGCACTTTGGGGTGGGTGTGAGGCAGGAATTAAATTCATAGGAAGAATGAAAATCCATACAGACCACACCTTCCTTGGATGCTGCTCCCTGACTAGTACCGATTACTAGTACTAGTACTCTTCCTGGAAGAGCCTTTGATCTTAGTTATCCCTTCATCTTCTTTCTTCAGACTTTTACATGCCAGAAACTCAGTAGCCAAATGAAAAGATGGATGGGATTGTGCATTCACTACTCTATATCCGGAAGCCTAGAGAGCAGCGAGAAGCTGCTTAAAAATTCTCTAGAACGAAAGCAGCTGCAGCTGAGAGCAGTCCTTCATACAACACAGGTTCTGGCTTTCAGTAATCATTTTTCAGGTCTCTAGCTCTCAGTGTGCGAAGTCTCCACAGACATTTATATCATTACATGCTCTCTCCACCCACCATCCCCCCATTTTAAAATAAATGTAAACATTTTAGGGAGCCTCTAAAATTACTGTGGGTCCTAGACACTGAGCCTTCTGTTCCCTAGTTGATAAGTTGGTTCCTGGTGCCCGGAGGACCGGCTGTTAATGTTCCTATCATCATCCCTGGGAAAGCGCTATGCTTTATGGCCGAAGTAGAAAGTAAAAATGTCTACAAGGAAATCCAGTATAGAGAAAGTGTCTGCTATCAGGTGAGGGCCGGGCCAGCTGGGGTGCATAGCCTTGTTGCCCAAGGGTTGCTGTAGCTCACCTTAACTCAAGCGTCATCCAATGCTGCCAGAGTTTCTCAGTTTCAAGAAAAGCTGAGTTTCTAATGGCTCATATCTATAACCCCTGCATTCTGGAAGCCTGGTGCAGGAGGATTTCAAATTTAAGCTCAGCCTGGCAATTTAGTGACTTAGTGATTTTTTAAGACCCTGCCTTAAAAAAAAAGGCCTGGAGATGTAGCTCAATGTAAAGGCCTCCGGCCCGGATTCCATCTCCAGCATTGGGGGAGGAGGGGAAAAAAGGTACATTTTATTCAAAGCCTCCTAATTTTAAATGCCAGCTCAAATTCAAAGACAGTATCTGTCTGACCCAAACAAAACACTTCCATGAGTGTAACTGGCGCTACTTTGTATCTGCTGAACATGGTCACTGCAAGGAGAACCCTTGAAAACAAATGGCAGAATAGGAATCTATCCATCAGGAAGAGAAAAATGGTGTGGTTTTCTTGTGATTGTAAAAAGACAATGCTAACTGCTATACAATGTGATCATTACTATTCATATGTAGTCCTTGGGTAATAAAAATGCAAATCTAACTAAATTCCCAATTCTGTGAAATTTCATTTGAGCTCTTTTCATGCTGTCACTGCCTTTAATTTGAATAATCAGGCCAAGATTTCCTGACTTTAATACATTAAGAGCTCTGCTTATAATCATGGTTTTGACTATTTAAAGAGTACTTAATTAGGCCTTAAAAAAGGCCTCATACTTGTCAGGTCACAACTGTCTGCCTTAATTTGGGGTTCATTGTTTAAAAAAGAAAAAAGACTGGGGCTGGGGATTTAGCTCAGTGGCACCACACCTGCCTCACAAGCGCAAGGTCCTGAGTTCGATCCTGGGTACCAAAAAGAAAAAAGACTGCATTCCATTATTTTTCATTCTTTAGAGTAACTATTTAGTAAAAATTGTTTTTAAAAGAAGTAGGACTTTATGGACTGGGGATTTAGCTCAATGGCACACCTGCCTTGCAGGCACAAGTTCCTAAGTTCCATCCTTGGTACCTGAACAAAACAAAACAAAACTAAACTACAAAGAAGTAGGACTTTGGGTATTTGACTAAAAAGCTGCAGATACTCACTTCATAGCAACAAAGCCTGTGACATTGCCAGGACACCATTAGGTATACCCAGTCTTTTTCTCTCTCCCTTCCTCTTAGCTGATGAGTTCACTTTCTAATCCTAGAAAAAAGCAATTAAGATCTAGGGTGATAAGCGCTTTGAATAGAAAAGTATAGGTTCCTTTAGAAATAGAAGCAGGATGTCCAACTTAGGCTGGTGGGGGAGGAGGGTCTGTGAGCCTTCCTGAATTAAATGCCACCTGCAGTAAGAGGAGAAAATTGATTTAGACCTCAGTTAGAGGCCAGGCAAAGATTAGAAAAGAGGCTCAGAATTGAAAAAGTGTGATAGAATCTGTGATTGGAAATAAATTCAATTAGGTTGGAGGATAAAAAGCACTGTTCTATTTTAAGTTCATGTGGAGCCATTGTCATTTGCCAATCATTCCTCATTTGCTTGTTTCTAGTGTTCTTCCACCCCATGGCTTCACAAAAAACAGGAGGCCTAGCTTGCTGATTCCCCAGTGCCCGTAACCTATGCTCTTGACCTTTCCTGAGGGCCAGATATGTGTCAGATCAAGTTCAAAGCAAGTCCCTCACTCCAGCTCCCCCAACCATCCAAAAGACAAAATCCTTCAGAGCTGGCTTAACCACTTTGTTCTCGTGAATTCATCCTCATCTTTTCATGCCTCCTCTACTCTCAGAAGTAATTATGTCTTTTAGACTTCCCTCACTAACTGCAGCATCAATTTATGCAGTGTTAGTTTGCTATTTCCTTGTCTCCCTCGTTCCTGAGTTTTAAATCCCATACAGTGTATATTTGTCTACGTAAGTACTACAATACTTTCAGCAAGATTTTATACACAAAATGGGGGCTCAAAAGTATTTTGAATAAATAGGGACAGAAGACCATGAAGTTCCCCTCTTCCTCAAGGCAATATTTTATTTTTTTGAGACAGGGTCTCGCTCTGTAGTCCAGGCTGGTCTCGAACTATGTAGCCCAGGCAAGCCTTGCACTCTTGGCAATCCTCCTGCTGCAGCCCCCTAAGATCTGGGATTATAGGTGCAGGCCACCATGCCTGGCAAGGGTAGTATTTTAAAATAAAAATTTGACTTCATAGCCCCAATTAACCCTGCTGAAGGTCACTCTTAATCCTCCGACTAGAATTCTAACTCATGAACGCACGGGTCACCTTAGGGCCCTGTGTGAACTCACCGTCATCCACTTCTCCAGCCAAGTCCCTCCCCATACCCGGCCTGACTAAACTGGACTCCTTATGGTGACCTGCACAACCAGCTGTACTGATTCATGCTACATACAGGTAGCTTCTACTTCAACCATTCCTTCTGTCTGGAAAGCCCTTTCCATTTTCCTCACCTGGCTCGGATCCAGTATGACCTCCGCAAGGAAGCTTTCCTGCTCTGAATGCAGATTCAGATCCAGATTAAGAATTTTTTAAAAGTACTAAGTAGACAAACGTTTACATGATTAAAAAATGAAAATAGGCCGGGCGCAGTGGCTCATGCCTGTAATTCCAGCTACTGGGACGAGGCAGGAGAATCCTATGTTTGAGCCCAGCCTGGGCAACTTAGAATGTCAACATTTTAAAATAAAATGTAATTTAAAAAAGACACACAATTCACATATATGCTAGATTTAGAATACTGTCTATATTTACGATTTTTTTCCTCATTCAATGCCTCTACGTGTACCCATCTGCAGACGCCCTGAAAGTCACCCATCGGATTACCGTGACTGGGTGAAACGCTCCTCTTTACGTTGCCAGGCACAGCTGTATCTCAGCAGTCACCATCTTAACATGAGCAGATTACAAACTTGTCCTTCCCACCAGGGTGTGAGCTCCCGAGGTAGCACGAACAGTGTCTCTGCGGATCCAGCGTCCGAATCACAGTCAGCTCCCGACCTATTTTCCGAGCTGAAGTAAACGCTCCTCCCTATGTGGTCCGTGAGTTTCTTTGAAAGAGCGGCTCCCTTCCCGCCCAGGAATTACAAATGGCTCGCATCTTCAAGGGTTGGCTCTAAGAAAAAAGGTTAAATATCAGCCGGCCCTGAAAGGCAGGAAAAGAGATTCTGTAAATCCCCGGGACCGAAAACGCCACCGGGAACCAGACTCCCAGGAAAACCAATTGAGTGGGAACCAATGGAGTGGGAAGGGTCACGGAAGTTATTGACACCGGAAGTCACGTGGCTCAGCTCTGCCTAAATCCATCATCTCGGGAGTCGATTTTCAATCGTATAGGCTTCTGGCGGGCTCCGCTGAGATCCACTGTTCGGTGCTCGACTTGCCCGTGCTGCTGCTGCCGCCGAAGGAGGGGCAAAGCTCAAGATGGCGGACAAAACGCCAGGCGGATCTCAGAAGGCCAGTTCGAAGGTAATTTCTCAGAACTCTTCGTAAGTCAGTGGGTCTGTGACTGTCTCCTGAGGCCCGCAGACGCATCTGGCCTACAAGAGGTGGTTGGGCTGGGTATCTGAGTTCTGGTCGCAACAGTAGGCCTGGGCCCTGCCGCATCGTGGTGCGCAGGTTGAGAGGCCTGGTATCTCCCTCAGTCCCAGCCTGGATTCTTCCCGAGACTGGCGTGCCCAGGGGGTGGTGGCTTGAGTAGTTTGGCCCTTTCTTGGCATTGAGGTGAAATCGGAACTTCACATTGAGGTAGGAAGCCATGAAATCGCACCCTTGTATCCTGTGCTGAGGCCAGAGGCCACCGGACAGCACCCGTGAGAGGCGGGAATCGCTTCCCGGTGCTTCAGTGCCTGTTTCTTTTTTTCTTGGTTCTTTGGTTTTGTTTCTCACTCGCTTCGAGTCTCCTTCACCCCCTTCAGGGACCAAATAACCCCTAGGGTCGCAAGTTTATGGTGGGAAGGCTAATAGTGGAAGGACGCCGGGTGGGAAGTGCAGAGGCGGGAGCAACTGCTCTGCACTGTTGCGTCGCCAAGGTTAATGTTACAGTCTGCACGTGGCGTTTACCTTCAGCAAGCGAAAAACGAGTACCTTTTTTTGTTGTGTTTTTTGAGACAGGGTCTTGCCATGTAGTTCAGCCTGGCCTTGAACTCACACTTGTAGCCCGGGCTGGCCTCGAACTCTGGGCCATCCTCCTTGCTTGCCGAGTTCTGGGATTAAAGGCGTGCGCCACCACGCCCGGCTATGAAAAATGAGTACTTTTTGAGGGCCACAGATTAAGGGTCTCTGCCTCTATGTGGTGTGTTCCAGTGAAGGGAGAATTATCTGTAGACCTGGAAGGGTACCCAAGATAAATTGCATTTGAGTTTACAGGGAACGGAGTGCACGACTTGTGATACCAAGGAGCTGTGGAAGTATAGCCTTAGTAAAATTGTGGTTAGTGTCATCTTGGGCGGGTCAGGTAACTTTTTGTTTGTTTGCTTTGAGTTTCTCATTTGGAACTCAATATTAAAAGTAATAAGTATTGCCATGAAGTAGTTGTTTACTGCTTCTTGATGCGGATACAAGAAGATGTGTAACAACACTTAAAGGTTCTAGGGACATAAAAATGTAGGATTATAAGTCAGTTATAAGAAAATGAAATTTAGGTAAAAGGGAAGAATCGTGTATTTGCTCCTTGTTCTGAGAAATGCAATAACCCATTTTGTACTTGGTTTCTCAATTTCTAAAAAAGCTGAATATTTATGCCATTTGGTGAATGATGTACACCAAATACTTAGTTTGTAATTAGTAATGGCCTCCTTACCAGACATCCTTTAGTTAAGTTAAACTCTGGTAAGGGGCCAGTTTGGGTGCTTTATATCAAACTTTTACTCCCTGTGAGTTTCCTTCCTCCCTAGTACGTTTCTCCTCCTCTCCTTTGGGGTGGGGAGGTTAATAGGTGGGTAGCTCACCCTGCCCATTCTTCTCTTTTACACACACATGACAAAAACAGCTCTATATAGTGTTAGGGAACTATGTATTACTAATGCTAGCCATATATATAAATATAGCCACAGTAATTCATGATCTTTGTTTCTTAATGTCTTAAGTGTCCCTCTTTCTGTGTTCAGGGTTTCTAAAACAGTACTTCTCTTGGTTATGAATTTGTGGTCGTTCCTGACAAATGATTGGCTTTTCTGTTATTAAATCTTCCAGTTTATATTGCTTTCCATTATCACCTGTTGATATGTTTAACAGAATATATTTGGACTCAAAAGTATTTAGTCTTTATTTCCCAATTAATATGGAAACTATAATGTAGTGGAAAGGTTGTGGATTTTGATAATGAGCAAGAGATTTGGATTTATATCTTGATTTTATAATTAATATTAAGGCAGATTGCTTAAACTCTTGAGCCTCAATTTTATTTGTACTATAGATATAATCTCTTCTTTTTACAGGGTTGATAAAACATGGAGTTAATGCTTATAACATGCATAATCTTCCCTTTTTTGTTCACTTCTCCTTTTATGTTCTTAGAGGAAATAAAAAGTATTTGATTTTCAAAATGTCAGGATAACTGTTAATCCTGAAAGTTGGAATCTTAAGCCATGAGCTCTCATGTGACTGCCTAAATAGCATTTTATTTGTACCTCGTCAGAATTTATTAGAGAAAGTATAAGGGCTAGCACTGCAATATTCAGAATTTCTGGCCTTTCATCTCTTTGTTTTGATTTCCCTCTGGAAAGAGCAGATAAATCACTTATCTTACCCAATACAGATAGAGTGAACAGATACTTTCTCAAGCTCCTTCAGCTTTGGTAGTAAAGTTTTCATTGATATGGATTGGAATACTTATTAATCATATTTCTAGACATCGAGAAAAATGTTAATTTAAAAATGTTCAGTTTACAGAATTTTTACAGTTAGTAATGGCAAAATTGTTAACATCTAATTGTCAAATAAAGAGTTTAAATAAGGTAGCCTATAGAGTTCCTTCCAGCTTTAAAATTACATTTTATTTATAGTCAAATGACTTACCTATATGTGTAATTGTCACTTATGAAGACACACTCATGCCATTTTATTTTCTGTGTTATTTCAGTATACTTTTCAATTTAAAGCTTGGCAGATGTAGAATTTAGTAACTATTTTAGAAGTGAAGTTTTCCTGCACATTTTATTGATGTTTATCTTTAGATTAAAATATTGCCTTGATAGGGGAGGGATTTTGGTGCCATATTATACCTTTGATTTTGCAGCATGTGAGAGCTTGAGCCTATACTTGTTAGCTTGTAAAATTGTTAAACATAGTTCTGTAGAATTTATTTTATAAAAACTAATGTTATTTTGACTTTAGGAGTTGTTTTGTTTGCATGCTCATCTAAATGAGAGTATTAAGAAAATCTGGTATTTTCTTTTCCTTCTGTTTCTCCTGTGCTGGTAATATTGCTAATAGAATGGAATTGTGTGCCCTGCTGTTTCACTTTGTGACAGTGCCTATTTTTTTTGTTATACCATCAAAAATTGAGTTAGAAAGGTGAATAGATAAAAGAGGAAATAATACTGGCTTCCTTGGACATCCAGTGTTGAATTGCTTTGGGACCTGTCTTCATGGCTTTTGCTTAATAACAAAAAGTATCACTCTTAAACAATTAGGTAGAATGAGGATCTCTTTAAGGCTTTTAGTCTTTAAATATTTATTACTTCCAGTACTTTCCAGTCCTTCTAATACTTAAATACTGTGTTTATTACTTTTTGTGGTATCTGAGGATTTAAATATGAAAAACTCCAAACAAAACACAAACCTTAAAAATTAGGTTCTTCATAGCTTGCTAATTTTATATTGAGTCTTTGTTATGGTATGGTTGTAATTTTTCTCTTAAAATATAGGGTGCATAGATTTTTGGTTTAAGGTGGTTGTATTTTAGGGTGGAAGGTGGAAATAGAGACTTCTGTTTTCTTGATTGGTGCTTTTTAGAAACTTAAGTCTGCAGCACTGGTACTGGTATATGATTGTTGATATGGTTTAAAAAATTTGTCTTACTGTACAGAATTGATTGTTTTCTGAAAGTCCAGGTTTTATTTTGATTCATCTTCCTGAAACTTATTTTCCTTAGAAAATAAACATAAGAAAGATAGACTTTTGCCTTTGTGGCAAATGAGAGATCATCTGGTATACATATTAAAAACTCCTGGCTTTTAACTTTTTTTTTATGAAGAGCATAGTTTTTGAAATAAAAACTTGTTACATAATTTTAAAGCAAGGTATTAATATTACAATTATTTGCCTCTTATGGTATTTTAAGTGGTTTTAACATTTGCCATTTATTAGCTATTTTGCTGAAGTAACTTTCTTTTTTGGTGCTGGGGTTTAAACCCAGGGCCTTCCATGTGGCAAATATGTGCTCTATCACTGAGTTATACCCTCAGCCCTGAAATAACTTCTTTTGAAAACAAGATACATTTGCCAGTAACACTTGAGACTGTTGGTAATGTTAGACGTCTCTTCCTTGAGGAGCTAATTTTTTAAAAAACTAATTTCTTCCTCAGTTTAAATACAAAATAGATTTGTTATTTGTATTGTACATAGTGCATATCTTTTTTTTTTCATAGTGCATGTCTTAATGCTTTTATAAAATTTTTTGAGATGTGGAAATTTTTGTTTGGCTAGGATAATGTTATTAAGCTGTGTAGCTGCTGCTTGTTAATGAGTGGACAGCATAGTGTGTTCACAGTGTGCAGTATAATTTTGTTTGGTGGGTACTTGTTTGAACAGGTTAAGTCAGCAAGTATATTTTGACTCTTAATAGATTTTGTGCTTAATGTCATAGAAACATTAAATAAGACCATACCCACTTTGGGGGAGCATGCTACCTTGAAGGAAGTCAAAACACACGTTAGTACAAGGCAGAGCTATCAGAAGTATCTAAGGAAGTGACTAGTTTGAATGAAGATTGGCAGGAGGAAGCTTTCAGAGCATAGAGGAATATGATTGGCTCTTTTGTGTGTGAGCAGAGTTTTAAAAGGTATAGAATGGAGCATGAAAAAGGAGATGGGTGAGGTAAAGAATTAAATTGCTGAGAAATGGATTGGTAAATGGTCTGGTTTAGCCAGTGCAAGAGGACACTTGCATGGGGAGTAAAAGAAGCAAAGACTGGAACATTGGGGTGCTGAGAAATAAAATTTGAGAGCCATGAGAAATTTAAGACAGAAAAGGCCTTTAGGAATGCTATTCCAGAGGAATATACACTATTGGATGGATTTGAGGATTAGCACCACCAGTTAGGTTATTACTGGCACATACTGAAGGTTGCTTCAAAAATCTCACCT